CTACTTAGTATTGAATTATATACACTGTGTAACTTGTGATTGGAAAGTTTGGCAATGAACATTGAAACTGTTTGGTCTATTTAGATTTCTTTTTCTGCTTTTATGACTGTTTTTAGATTGTTCATGTTCACAAGTTAATTTAATTGTTGACTGAGCTGATACCTCAGCAAACTCTAACATGCAAGCTGAAGACCAAAATTTGAAAAGTTCAGTGTATAGCTCTGCTACTTTTTGTTCTTGTTCTCACAAAACATAGAGAAAGTCTCTTTCAGTTTCTTACTTTCTTGCCATTTGGTAATATTTTCTCATATTTTTCTTTGGCATACGTATGCATTTATATGTTACTATTCTAACATATATTTTCTTTTACATGTTTTACGTTTTGATTTTGTAGTATTAACATGGTTGTCGATGACTCTTGCTTTGCTGATTACATCCCTTCAAGTTAGTCACAATGCTTATAAATAACTTGCCTAATGTTTGATTGAATGCTACCTAAGTTTGCGTCCTATTTATAAGCTTAATGAGTAAACTGTTAGTAGTTGCTTGCTATTTGAACAAGTCTTACAGTAGCCAAAATATAATATGATTTGCCGTTTGTGTATAACTTATCACATAATGTATTTGAAGGTAGCATCTTTTGGATTGGAAACCAAATTGTTCACAAGCTGTAAATCCAATCTATATATGGATGTGCCTTTATGAAGGAAAATAATTCGTGCACAAGTTCTTTGCATTGCTTTCCAATCCCTTTAACTACTTAAAACCTAAATATCTATTAAACTAAACTAAAAACCTATATTGCAAATGCATTGTTAATCACATTGTTTTTCAATTTCTTTGCTTATATTTATCTAGTCATATTTTACATTTAAATACATCATGCACTTTCCAATTACTAGATAAAAAAACATTACAAAAGTTATTAACCTAAAAAAATCTTGAAGAAACAAAAATAATAATAATTGGTTAATGTACACAATTAACTAGACTCATTTTATAAATATTGCAATTCACTATCAAATTATATTTTATTCCTCTGCCAACTCCAAAATCTCAAGACTGCATAGTTTGATTAAAGCATAATTAGAGTTTAAAAAACCCCAAAAATCCACATTTTGAAAATGAAAAGGCAAAATTATAGCATACAAATTAAAAGTCAAACAATTAATCAACAACTCTAAATTTAATAAAATTTCTACTAAATTTTATCCATGATATCCACTTCAATTACTTATAAAATAAAGCTAAAAATTTTAAATAGCAAGAAGAAGAATAAAAATTCTTCATAGTACTCATTTAAAAATTTTGATTGAATGCCTAGTTAATAGTTTACTTATATCCAATATCTAATTTCTTTCCCTTTTAGTAATATACATTCAATATATATAGACCTAAACATGACACTCAACTCAAAGATATTTCTTAAAAATTTTCTACCCTTAAACACTTTAAGGTAGACATTGGTTGTGTGCAGCACATCAAAGCCTTACTAGTATTTCTTATTCACCAGAGTAGTTAGCAAGTAGCTTGTAAAATTGTGAAACTCTAGATGTGCTTGACATGAAAGATGATATAGTGACGCATATCCAAAAGACTAAAAAAATTTAAGTCTCATTTTTAAACCATATGATATGACATTTATTAGTTTTTATTTCCCATGAGACAACATTTACTATATCTTATTCTTTATGGACGAAATGACGGCAAGAGTAGGTGTGGTTGTTAGTTTTTTTTTGGGTTAAAACAAACTATTATTAATGCAGCCCCAAAAAGTACAAAGTTCGGGACCAATTGTGACGGCCCCACCTTCTCCTAGGGCGTATCCTAAGAGTTAGCAGACCGCCTGCCAAACTCTCGTCAGGACTACTGAGCCAACACACACGTAAACTTTACAAAACGTGCAAAAGAATTTCGAGAAAATGAACTGTCGGAAACTGAATTACCTAAACGAAACGATGCAATAGAACTTCGATTCAATGCTCCAACGAAAAGTGAAACGAACCAGCCCCACATTAGAATCCGGCCAAGATTTGGCCGGATTCATGGCTAGATTCGAGACAGTGACTAAACCAATTTTTTTTTTCAATGTCCCCTGCCAATCCGGCCATGTATCGGTCCAATTTCTGGCCGGATATACTACCCGATTTGTTGCCTTAGCTTCCCGCCAAAATTTCATTCCTTTCTCGTTCAAGTTTCGTACTCGCTTAAATTTTCAATGAACACACGAAAAGTTCACATAACCATAGAAATGTACAACCTCAAACGAATACAATTGAAACACATGATTAAACACATAGATCTATATATACATTGTAAGGTTCAAAAGTTCAACTAGCAATACAAGTCGGAATATCTAAAAGTGATCAAAGTGCAATTAAGGTTTTCCATTTCGGAGAAGCTTAAACAAAATATATATCTATCTCAAGCTCTACTCTTTTCTTCAAAATCACGGTTCCCAACATTTTGAAGCCTGTAAGGAAAACAAAGATAACGGGAAGGGGTGAGTTTACGCTCAATGGGGTACCACAAGTACAAGTAATCAAGAATCATGGAACTTCACTTTTAATCAGGCAAATATACACAGTAAATGACGAAATGAACAAATACCTCAAAGAGAAAGGATACAGGTGGCTCTCAAGAGCCAAATTTCCATTGCAGTACTTGATCCAAACTCGTTGACACTTCGTCAATGTTTGATGAAAACCCCTTCCTGCATATCCATACAAGACCCGAGTAGGCGGGTCCAAACATGACCGTAGACCCCACTTTACACCAAATTCCCTCCACCACACATACCCCTTACAGGGCCCGAACCCCTCAACAGGAACAGGGATGGTAATACTCGAGTATACCGAAAATTCAGAGTCTCCAATACCTAAAGATTCCCCAGGAATAGGCCTCATAGATTGTCAATTTTCCTCGACTAGGCCCTTGCTGGCTCGATTCAATTAACTCCCCATGAGGTTGAGCTCAGACTTCACAGGCACAGGAAGGTCGTTGGATACAAGCTTCAAACGACATCACATCAGGCACAAGTAACAGATTCAAGTTTATACAGTAAACTAGTCACACAAGTCAGAGAACAAGTGTGATAAAGTACACCCTCGTTTCGTACAGAATAAACAAATGATACAATCATTCAAGTCACAAATTTCATGTACAAATAAACTAGTTAGCAACGAATCATGGGAGTGGTACACTCACCAGTTCAAGCAAAGATTCTTCAAAAGTTTTCTCCCAAAGTATGCCTTTGATCACCGACACGTCCTAAGAACAATCAAGGTAAAACAATTATGGTTCCCACATCTACAACCTAATGCACGAAATTCACAAGTGAGACTCAACTGCGAGTCGTATGCCTATTCAAATGAACTACAAATGCAAGGAGATAAAAGTATGGTTTTGGAGTGAAAAAGTAATAGTTGTCCCAAGAACATGAGCAACCCCACAACCATTCATTTCTACCCAAGATTAATCCAAACTCAAAGGAACCAAATGACCTTAAAATTTGGGCAGCATTTCCCCTCAATTTCCTTACTTTTCCACCCTACAATCCATCACCAATCTCAACTCAAATCAACCACAATTGCACACACAACACATAAGTTATAAAACACACCTAATTAGGGCCACAATTACCCTTCAATTTGAGCCAATTGATAGCCCCAAAACCAATCACAATAAAGCCCCAAATTGAAACCCTAATCTGAAATTTACTCCCAAAATCTGAAATTTTCTTTAAGCAAGTCCTTCTAACACATAACACCCTAATATTTCACATAATAAAGCTTTCAAACCATAGCCAATCATTACTCATCACATGAGGGTGGAAAAATCACCATAAAAACTGAAATTTCCATATCACTACTTCCACCATGAAATTTTTTCACAAAACTACACATTTAGCAACCTTAAACCACTAATATGCAACTATTAGAAGCAAAGAGGGATTTCTTAGCAAATTACCTTAGAACCACAAGCAAGATGATAGCTTAGTACTTCCCCCTCTAAAATCACTCCACCAATACCTCTAATCCTCCTTAATAAGCAACTTTTATGGTGTAGTTTGCAATTTTGATGGTTGAAGCTCAAGGTTAAAGCAAGAAATTGAAGAACAAGATGAAGTTCTCTCCCTTTCTTTCCCTCAAGGAGTTCGGCTAAGGAAGAAGAAGAAATGAGGAATTTTTGGTTAATTAAAAGGTAAAATGGTCTTGAGTCAAAGTCCAACATCCATTGGCTTCGTGACAAGTGGCGCATTAGGGTTTTGTTATCATCCTTTTGTCTACCAATGGTTAATCTATCTAGCTAATCTCTAATTATCTCCTAGCACCTTATACAGTAATATCCCTTTATATAAAATTTCAACTAATCGTCAAAAATTTATAGCACTTACCGCACTAGCGGGTCCCACGTCCATATTGCACTCCAAACTTAACATGAGCTAACTTATCCCAGAAAAATGATTTAAAAACTATACTCACTTATAAAAATCTCTGAAAAATTAATATAATAAAGTAAAGTACGAAAATACATGAAAGAAAATAACTAAAAGAATTATAAAATAAGATAAATTTTCGAGTCCTCACACCAGCCCTTCCCCAGGAGTACAAGCTCACACATCCTACCCCACCTCTAATTAACCCCTACCGCTAGCATTTACGAAAATTTGGAAATCCAAACGCATCTAAAGAAATATCTCCCCTCACCAATCGAGGCAACACATTATATGTCTCATAAATTGCAATATACCTAGCCTCCACGCCAACAATAGACAATCTGTCCGCTGGCTTGTTCGCCTCCCAGAAGCAATAAGACATGGCCTCAAAATACCGTCTATATTGCTGTAGATCTAGTAACTCTCTCTGTAGCTGCCATTGGCACTGCACCTTCCCCTGAATAATATGGACCAACACCAGTGAATCAGATTCCAAGTGCAACTTAACAAATCCCCGAGATACACCTAACCGCACACCAAAAAGCAGAGCTTTCATCTCCGTCTAAAGGCTAGTGGCCTTCCCAAACCAACATGAAAAGCCAAGTATGAACCTCCCATCAAAATCCCTGAACAATCCCCCACCGCCACTTCTCCCCAGGTTACCCTTTGAACAACCATCGGCATTCAATTTCACCACTGACTGATCCGGACATTCCCAACAAACCTCCCATATGACAATCTTGCTTCGCAACCAAGCTATCATATCAAAAAAATCAACCTGTGAGTTATCAGGCAGTGATATTTCCTGAAACCGAAAAAAGAACTATTCTCTCAGCTCCAAGAAAATCCGATCACAAGCATGCATTACCGAGTCTCGCTTACCATCGACTATCCACAGCCTATCCACAAAATCCATATTTTCCATAAATTCTAGCAGATTAAGGATGGCAATGTGCGGAGAACAAAACCAAGGTAATTATTAAGAGTAGGTTTTACCCACCAGCTCATCACCTTGTGTCTAACCGTGAAAGCCGCACTAAACCCACCAATAAGACCCTCAAAACAACCCCAAACCTGCTTAGCCATCTCCCCCGTACAAAAGACGTGGTTAATGGTTCCTGGGGACGGGTTCAGACTACAACAAAAGCATCTAGAGAGGCCCAAAACCTTAAACTTGTGTAACACATCCATCAACGGCAATCTACCATACAGCAATCTCAACATAAAGAACGAAATCTTTGAAGGCAAAGCCCGATGCCACAAACTAGCAAACAAGCGGGAAACAGTACCTCCTTTACGCACTATCTGATATGCCGACGAAATAGTAAACGCACCTGAATTAGTGGAGGCCCAAATCATGTCATCCGCCTGCACTATAGTAGGGGGAGCCACCTCCAGCACCTGCTATACCCTGCCCTGATGTGCTATCTTACTTGGCCACGATCTAGACAACTTACACCAACAGTTTGGCAGTGGAAATTTGACCCAATCTAATCACCGAAGTAGCGAACAATGTTGATACTATCTCAACTCATTACTTAACGAATTAGCGAACCAAACTATAAGTAGAGGAACGCCACAACCAAGGAGTTACTTGATTGATAAGTTCACTGGAATAACTTGAGAAAGATTCTCAATTATTCAAAGAAGCTCTCTTGGAAAGAGGAAAGTGAAAATTCACAATTTTATTGATTCAAAAACTGATCTTGAAGGTCTCTACCTTGGGCTATATATAGCCATACACTTGACAACCTAAAGTGAATTGGATTCACTTAAACTGGATCCTAAAGTGAATTGGATTCACTTGATAGAGACTCTCGGCTAGGCTAGGGCCTTTTGGGCCGAAATAATGACTAAAATGGGCTATCTAATATTCGGCCATCTTGAAGAGTTATTTGACCGAATTTATTGACAAGAATAAATAACAAAATTAGTGACTAAATGACTAATTTACCCTTGATCTTCTAAGCAACTAGCCGTCACTTGACTCTTCAACTTGGAGTAAGGTGTATAGTGTTGAATCTTCATTCTCCAAGCCTTTAATGATCTTTAAATCATCTCCAACTCTCTCTTGGATAGTGCATACAAGACCTTGAAGGGCTTCGCATATCTTCTTGGCACGAGTTCTTGTGATCGGGCTACTTGAACGGAGTTGTGGGCTAGAGTGGGGGATCCAGATCATATCATGCCCACTGGTAGCACCTGCTGTGGTGTGGTTGTTAGTAGCAAGTCAAAAACTAAGCAGGCGAGTGCTTCATATTTTGAAGCTGAGATTTGATAGAAAGCACAAAAAAAACCCAAAGTCATCACTCGCATTATTTCATTCTTTTCCAATGATGATGAGTTTTCTGCCTTTTCGTTAAGTACAGTGTTTTCAAAATAATTTATTTTGGTACTCCATAATTCATATTTTGTACTTTTTTTAGTCCGTAACACTTAAAATGACAAAGTTTGGTCCCTTATATATACAAAATGCACCCATTTTCATAAAAAAACTTATGTTAGGTCATGTACTCACCTAAAGTTTTAATTTTGACATAAATGATAAATCCAAACAAAGCTTAAAAGGTAATATTCAAGATGTTTAACTTCATTTTTCTTTAATTTCAGCGTAATATTGTAAAAATTGACAACTTTACAAAAATCAATTGATTTTGTTTTTCTAGATATTTTAGTTACGAAAGACGAAAAGTTGGTGTCTTTGTTTCAAATTTGTTTGGGTATTTTTAGATTAAAAAATTATTTATTTCATAATAACATATATTTTGGAATTTTACAAACTACTTCAAATTTTTTAATACTCTAGTTCTTTTCTTTTATTTGAATTGATAGTGCACAAACTAAGATACTTTTCTAATGCAAATTAGCTTCAAATGGTACTAATCTTACATGCATATATGAAAGTGCAAAAGGTTGATAAGTCGCAATTTTGTCATTTATTTTATAATTAATTTTCCCTATTACCTTACCAAATGTGAATTAATTGTCAGATTTTACTCACTTTTGGAAGTATGTATTTATTACAAGGAGTGGAACAAAAATACCATAAAAAGGTGCCAATTGGACGGTTATCAGGAGAAGAGTTTTAGCAGCAGTCAACACGATGGAGAATAATTCAACTCTACTTCCTTATCCCATGGGCAAATGCAGCATCCAGGGGCACTTTTGAAAAATTGGGACTTTTCTTCTTTTGGTAGTTTCCGAAGAGAGAGGAGATCAAAAAAGACTGGGAGTCTTCCTTTTTCCTCTGGAGAGCCGCATAGGAGAAGTAGTAGGAATTAGATAGGAAAAAGGATAGCAGACAATTTGGACTACTTTTAGTTTCTCTCTTGACTTTTTCTATTTCATTTTTAGTAGTTTTTTCCCCTGGTATGTCAAGACAAAGGGAAAACAATTAATCATTTTCTGTAGCTTCACTTTTCTTCATTATTCGAACGAATTGAATTTTCTCAATCGAAGGCAATATCCGTGACTGGTATTTCTGCAATTTCGCTTGGGATTTTCTCCACAGAGATGAACTAAATCTCTTTTTCTGATCAAGGAACAACGGAGGCTTTGGTTTATCTAAAAATTGTGAGATCGAATCAATTTTATCTATTCCTCTTATTTATTGGTATTTGCATATTCTCTGATTGCAGTGCTTATGGTTGTTTAATTAGTTGATCATCTTGGATCCAGATAATGAATTGATTTAGTAACCTATTGTCAATTAGAGCATTAAATCCGTAATTGTTTAATGACTCTGAAATAGTAACAATTGGCGTGAGAGGGAAGCAGTTAGCACATTGGATGCACTAAACATTGAGGAGTACACTGGGCAGGACAAGCCGGAAAAAAAAGCAAAGGGGTTATGGGCTCGTTTTAAGTCGGACAGACAATTGCGGTCTACCACCGTAACCAATAACTCTTTCCAGGTACTTCGCAATGATTAATACACTATTATGGAACATTAGAGGAGTGTCAAAGCTCCCAAATTTACGGAGATTAAAAGGCATTATTAAAGAGAAGGGTGTTCAGTTTGTGGCCATTTCTGAGCCAAAATTAGAGGCTTCGCGAGTTGAGGATATTAGATTGAAACTTGCTTTTGATTTTGCACATGTTAATGATTCGGGAGATTTATGGATTTTATATAAGTATCCTTTCACTTGTTCAGTGTTGGGTAATTCTACTCAGCACATTTCGTTAGTGGTATCCCACCCGTGGCTACCGGGCTCTATGATTTTTTCCTTTGTGCATGCTGCGTGTACGGAGGAGGGGCGGAGGGAGCTATGGGCGAACCTCCTGTTGGATAAACCACAGGCATTGCCGTGGTGTATAGGGGGTGATTTCAATGTTATTGTGGAAGCTTTGGAAAAGAAAGGAGGGAGACCTTTTGCGGTGTCGGAGGGGGTGGACTTTTTGGCTTTCATGCAAGATGCAGAGGTTTTTGATGCGGGCTGCTCAGGGTCCAGATTTTCGTGGTGCAACAATAGGAGGGGGAGAGCCAGGATTTGGAAAAGACTTGATAGATTACTCATGAATGGGGAGATGGCAGAAGCGGTTTCAGCGATTTCGGTGGTTCATCTTGCACGCCATCCTTCTGATCATGCTCCGTTGCACGTTTCTTTTGTGACGACCCCACCTCCCCCTAAGGCGTACCAGAGGGTTCGGCGGGCAGCCTGCCCAGCTCTCGCCGGGACTCAGTCGTTCTTTAATCAAATCCAGAACAAATCACAAGAATAAATAGGGCAGCAATCCAAACTTAAAGTGGAACTTATATACATCGCTATCTCAAAAGGAAGTACAACCATCAAATGTACAAAGGTTCTCACTTCACCATACAACTAGCCAGTGCCAAGCACTAGGGCGAGAACCATTACAAAAGAAACAAAAGACCTAAACTAGGCTAGTCTATGCTCTCATCCTGCTCGCCGTCCCCTGTTAAGGAAAACAAAACTAAAGGGGTGAGCTAAAAGCTCAGTGAGGTTCCAAACAGATAATCAAACAATCAAACAATCAATTCAATACATTAAACATGGAGTATCAATAATTCAAGAAACATTTACAATGGAAAGCAATAGTAACATTCATTAAAAGGATACGGCTCACAAGGAGCAATTCGTTCATTCGTTCATTCGTTCATTCGTTCTCCTGACATTTCCCCTTATTCCTCCAATCATTTGAAAATGCATTTTTCGTTTATCAATAAACCCTCCTTCGTTCGTTCGTTCGTTCATTCATTCATTCACCCCCGTCCTGGCCGTTGGCCAGTCTCCACCAACCTACAGGGTAATACTCGAGTATTACCCTGTAGGTTGGTGGAGACTGGCCAACGGCCAGGACGGGGTGAATGAATGAATGAACGAACGAACGAACGAGGGTTTATTGATAAACGAAAAATGCATTTTCAAATGATTGGAGGAATAAGGGGAAATGTCAGGAGGAAGAACGAATGAACGAATTGCTCCTTGTGAGCCGTATCCTTTTAATGAATGTTACTATTGCTTTCCATTGTAAATGTTTCTTGAATTATTGATACTCCATGTTTAATGTATTGAATTTATTGTTTGATTGTTTGATTATCTGTTTGGAACCTCACTGAGCTTTTAGCTCACCCCTTTAGTTTTGTTTTCCTTAACAGGGGACGGCGAGCAGGATGAGAGCATAGACTAGCCTAGTCTAGGTCTTTTGTTTCTTTTGTAATGGTTCTCGCCCTAGTGCTTGGCACTGGCTAGTTGTATGGTGAAGTGAGAACCTTTGTACATTTGATGGTTGTACTTCCTTTTGAGATAGCAATGTATATAAGTTCCCCTTTAAGTTTGGATTGCTGCCCTATTTATTCTTGTGATTTGTTCTGGATTTGATTAAAGAACGACTGAGTCCCGGCGAGAGATGGGCAGGCGGCCCGCCGAACCCTCTGGTATGCCTTAGGGGGAGGTGGGGTCGTTACATCTTTTGCGTCGAGGCTAGACAATGGGGCACGGCCTTTCAGATTTCTTAACATCTGGACTACCAAACCTGAGTTATTGGATGTCATCAGGGGAGCATGGGTTGTTGATGTGCATGGGTCTCCATTACGAGTTTTATGTTTAAAACTCCAGGCAACTCGGAGGGCAATTCAGCATTGGAATAAGCAGAAATTTGGGTCAGTTGGTAATGCTGTTCGGGAGGCGGAAAACAGGTTAGCAAGGATTGAAGGGTCAATGGAAACATCTAGGCTGGAGGAGGAGGATCCGGCAGAACTAAGTATGGCCCGGGCAGATCTTAACAGAGCCCTGGCAGTGGAGGAACAATTCTGGAGGCAGAAGGCAAGAGTAAAATGGCTGGGGTGTGGGGATCGGAACACCAGATTTTTTCACGCCGTGGTTAAACAAAGGCGG